AACAAGCACAGATCCTTTGATAGTCTTAAGGGGAAAAGTTAAATATCAGTGAATTAATGAGAGGAGAGCCCTCTCTGTCTTTGCTGCAGTTCCTTGGGAGATGTCTGATACTGCTTCTCCCTTGTGTAGGTTCAGATGTAACACTTTTTATCTGAAGTTAAGTGTAAAAAAAATAGGAGGAAGGTATGGGAAGTCCTGGGGCTGGGTAGGAAGAGAGGTAGGAAATGTTAATGTAGCCGTGCTGATGTCTTTCTTGGAGAAAGAAACAAGTGAGCTGCCCTTGCTTTACACTTGCTTAGAGATGTAGCTGTCCCACCGTGAGTATAAGTTTCAGTCCCCGGTTGCGTGACCTGTAGGTGCCCAATCTTGCTGTCATGTTTTGTATTATCTATCTTCAAGGTAGTCACTAATGCCCATTCCCATAGCATCTGAGAGCCTCTAGATGAAAGCTGTAAAAGTGCAGTGGTGAGCTTGTGCATGACATGAAATTGTGTAACAGGGGAATAGATTAGGATAAGGGTAATACTTCGAGGGGATGGGGGCCATGTCTGTCAGAAATCTGTGTGCCTGACTCCATGGAGGCTTCACCTTCCTAGTGCTGCATCAACAGTGAAACCTTTTGTAAAGAAGAAGAAATCTCTCAGAGGACTCCACCAGCTGCATTCAGAAATCATGTTTGCTCTAACAAACACTGGGGTGCTCGGAGCCTTTCCAGCCTGTGTTACCTGCAAATTTGTTCTCAATCCCCCATCCTGCATCACTTACTATCCTCCCCCTTCCAGGCAGAGGGAGCTCAGGGAGTGTGTGAAGATGAGAGGTGGTTGAGGTCAGGAATGGTGTCATCCTTCTGTTCCCCCTCCAAGCTGCTAATGTATGCTTCTAGAGAGCCACACGAACTGAGTAATTACTGAATTACAGCTAGATCAGAAGTGGTGACCTCAAAGACAGAAGGAGACTCTCCATCTCCATTTGTCAGTCCCCTTGGGGTCAGAAGGACAATTTTTCGCTGGGATCTGTGAGAGGGGGGAAAGGGAAGTGCAAGGTAAGCCTTACATTAAGGCATAACAGGGAAAACGTTTGCTTTAGCCATTGCAGCGTTCATGTGCAGTAAGATGCAGCATTGCTTGCATGTGTGTAATGACAGCAGCACTGGTGGGAGCAGTGGCACTAACCCAGAGGGCTGCTCAGGGGACTTTATTTTGCACAGAATTGCCCATCCATCATAGAGGAGGGTGCCAAGTCTTGAGGCCATTTTTCTGCCTTATTTGTGCCTCTATCCTCAAAAGCATTTTGATTAGGAGATGGCGGAGAGGATTTCAGGGAGGATGTAGGTAGGATTTGGAAAGTTTCTGTTGTGGTAGTACCATGGTGGCTCTGTACAATTATGGCCAAGGTGATTTTCTTACACTAAAAGCAGAGACTTCAATCTTTCTTACAACTGTGGTGTAGCACATTTGCTGAATTTATAGCACTTACTCTTGGATAATGGAATGTATTTGCTGGAAATTTACATTCAAACCTGTTTAGTTTGTTGTGTTGATTGTAAAATTGATCCTTTACGTGGGTTTTTTAAATAGTTTTTGGGTGTTTTTCTTATTTTTTCTTTTTTCTTTTTTTTAAATTTTGGTTTGGTTTTTTGTAACCATTTTTGGCCTTAAATCCTTGGAGTTTTTTCTTCTTTTCAGAATTGAAGGGTGACAGCATATAGATGCAACTGAGGACTTTACCCTGAAGTAGAAAGGTTTGCATGGATGTTAGATTTCCACCCTGATTGTTTGTGGGATTGTAGCCCTAGTAGCATGATGGGGTTACTTTCATCATTAGTCCTAAGAATGTTGTATATATAACAATTTTTTTTGTGTAACTGACAGTGGTCAAGTAGGTAGATGTCCCTGAATGGCCAAGTCAGAAGGTTGAATTTCTTTCTTCTGGAAAGAAAATGAAATGTTCAGTGGCAAAGGAGAACTTGGCAATGTGAACAAGGTGTACTAATGACAGTGGTTTTTCATTGGGAGTCTGCAGACAGCCAAAAATTAGTTTCTGAGAGAATTAAATTATCCATTAAGCTCAGTGGGGTTGTACATTGAAGCCTGATATATCACTTGGAAAGCTGCAAAGGATATGGCGTCTCTACTTGCGTGATATTTAACTAATATAGTTTGGATAATTTTGTTTACATTCTGCACTTAAATTGACCCTGTGCATTACCAGTGATGCCTACTGTAGTGCAACAGCTGACGATGGTGTGACAATTGCCTGCATTTACAGCATGAGCTCTTTTAAAACTTCAGTTCATCCTTCAAAATCAGCCATAGAGTTTTCAAGCTTTTAAATATTTTAAAAAGCAACTCCTGTTGTATTTCCTTTGTAACACCTACAAAGTAGTCAACACTACAAAGTAGTAGTTTAGTAGTTACTTTGTAACACTACAAAGTAGTAGTAGGGAAATGCCTCTCTGCAGCAGACTAGAGATCCAGGTATATAACTCTGTGAACTCACTTATTTTGGTCCTTTGAGAAATGTTTGACTTGGGAATGGTTGCTGTCCTTGTATTTTCATATGAATTTTTGAACATTTTACAAAGCTTCTCCTATTCATGCTGCAACTTCATTTTAGACATTAGGTAAAAAATACCTTGTTATAACAAGGTGACTAGATAAGGCATACTGTCATGTTTTTATATATACCAAAGGGTTTTACCTTAAGGTAAGTTTAAGTTTAGCTTTAGTCAGAGCGCTCTAAGCACTCCTACCTTACAAATCTACATAAAGGATTGACCTCAATTGATGCTTCACTTCAAAATCAGAAAACAGATAATGGAAAAACAAATTATAAAAATCTTATCGAGTTCCCCCACCCCATTACAGCTTTTATCACAGTCCTGGATCCCCAGGGGGAATGCTGCTCTAACCAAGCTCTTAGCATGCCGTGGCAGTCAACAAGATTAAGGCTGTTTCTGACGAGAGCAGCCTGGCGGTTTGTCACGGTGAATGTGCTCTCGGAGCCTCTTCTCCAGGCGAAGGAAGCGATGACCTGCACCTCGTGTGAGCGGAGCAGCGTGCCTGAAACACCACCTGTGAATGGGCAGCCAGTGCCGGGGACAGCGGGGCGTGCAGTTCTACGAGGGCTCGCAATAAGGCAGCGCCTCTGTGCTCCAGCTGCAATTTCCAGGGAGATGATGCGGAGCGCATCGCAGTATTCTCATCTGAAGGAGACAAGGCATAGATCACAGCAGTGGACTTGCCTCAGAAAGGAGCCAGTGCCTCTCGAGTTCCAAGACGAGTGAGCAGAGGAGCAGGCAAGGCTTTCCTAGATGCTCCAGGTGCACGATTGCCTGACCAGCAGCTGGGGAGTCCCTAACACCCACAAATTGTTAACTTGAAAGACAAATGGTAGAAGCACATGTAATTGTTGTCTGCTCTGGTTGTTTTCCCCAGACTACTGGCATCATTTTAGGCTTATCTAGATGGAATTTCAGCCAGCCTCCAAATAATTTTTGACAAATAATGCACGGTATGAGATGTGGTGTTTTGTATTTATTTTTCATAAAAAGCAAGTCACCTGTGGAGGAGCCATCAGTGAAGTTGTCAGCTGGCTGTGCTTACAACACAGTCCTTCACAGCAGTTCATTGCCTTTGGATGAGCTCTGAGCAGAGGCCTTCTCATGGAGTACGCCTTGCTGAGGATCTGGGAAACAAAGCTTGGGAAACAGGGCAGTATTGAAAGTATCATATCTGCTCAGTAAAGTTCCTGGCAAAGCAAGTTTTAAATGATGCTTGAGCTTTCTCTGCCCAGCACTTAAGAGCTTTGCAGACTGCCAGCCCTACTGCGTTTTCACGTGAAATGTTCTGAGTGGCAGATGGAGGAAACTGTAATGTCATATAGAGCTTTCTTTGCTGGCATGCGGGCTTCAGTGAAGGAGGTGATGATTTGACAGGCACTGCATCCTTGCTCTACAGCTGCCCCATCCACCAGCCTCCTTGCCCTCTTGCTCTCAAACCCAAAAACTCGTGAATGAGCTGAAAAAAGCTTAATTCTCTCCAGCACAGAAATGCAGCTAGACACGCCGGACTCCCAAATGCAAAGCCAGTGGGGACCCGGAGGGCTGGCAGTGCCACTTGTGGTGGCGCGGAGGCTCTGGGCGGGCGGTGCGCGGCCGGGCGGGCTGCGGGGCAGGAGAGCCCGGGCACCGCCGCCTCCATGTTGTTTCCTGAGATCCCCGCGCCTCCGCTCAGGCACCTCCGATTCGGGGCCCGCCCAGCCCCGCCGTACGGGCCGGCTGCCGCCTCGAGGTGCGCTCCAGGGCTCCGCGCCGCCTCAGGGCTCGGCCGCCGCTGTACGCGCCGCGCCTGCCGGGGAGGCCGGGTGGAGACAAGTGGGCAAACGGAGCAAAGCCGGTTCTTAAAATGACTTGGGGGAGGGTGAGGGTGGCGGGGGGGGTGGAGAGGAGCGCTGTTGATTTTCGAGGAGAGGGAAACGCGAGCTGCCCCGGTGCCTGCCCACAGGGCCCGGGAGTGCCGGCGCCTCCGCAGGGGCGGGGTGGGGCAGCACGCGCACCGGCCGCGCCTCGCTCACGTGCTCCGAGCGCGCGGGACCTGGAGGGGGGGCCGGGCCGGCGCGCGGCTCCTTTAAGCGGGCGCGTGGTGGTGGGAGGGGCGGTGGCACGTCCCTGCACGCGGGGGCGCGCGCGCACGCGCTCCCCCTCCCCTCCATCCCTCCCTCGCCCGGCCGGGACCCGCCGCCTCGCGCCGCCGTTCCCGCTGGCGCGCGCGCTGGCTCCGCCGCCGCCCGCCGCCATTGGCTGCCGGGGGTCAGGTGACCCCGTGTTATTTCCTGTGTGTGTGTGAGGTGTGAGTGAGGGGAGGAGGATGGCACCGGACGCCCCCGCGCCCCCGCCCGNNNNGCCCCGCCCGCCCCGCCCGCCGCGGCGGAGGGCGCCGGGCACGGCGGCGGGGGGGGTCTCAGGTAAGGGGAGGCCGTGCTCTCCCGGGCTGTGTCGGTGTGTGAGGGAGGCCTGGGGAGGGATTGCGAGCTCCTGGCGGGGGGAGCCGAGGTCGCCTGGGCGTGTGGGAGGGGATGTGAGGGTCTGATCCGTGAGTTGGGGGGCGAGCCCTGGGTATGAGGGGGCTTGTGAAAGGGCTCCTGGGAAGTTTAACCTTCTCCTTCCCCCTCCCCCCGTTTTTTATTTATTTATTTTTTTTTTTCTTGAAAGAAAACAAAAAATGTTTACGTGTGTTCGAAGACGCGCTCGTGCTACCTGGTGGGGTGCCCACCTGTTTTCCTGTCCCGGAAGAATGGGTTTTTTTGCAAGAATTGTGAAGTTTTTGTGGGATTTGGTGTTTTCGTTGAAGAGATAAACGATTAAAACTGTTGGAGAAGATGGATGGACAGTGCTCAGATTGTAGTAGGTGGACAGGCTGTGTTGGGAATGCTTGAGGTTTGCAGTGCCTCTCTGCTTTTTGGAGGTTCGACGTGGTCGTTGCTTATCTGCAGAGATAATCAGGATATAATGTGTTTGGGCTGCTGTGAGGATCAGTTTGTCTTTTCTTAATGGTGCTTACCTTGCTGGAAGTTGTGTTTAGGGCTGCAGTTGGAAGTTATTTTTCCTGCCTTGAGGGAAGGAATAAGAGAAAGTTATGTAACGTGAGTGTTCTAACCTATGTATCAGAGCTGCCTAATGGTACTGGGGCTCTGTTGTTAACCTGAAAATAAGAGCACGTTTGTGTGTGAATCAACAAGTGACTGTCTCTCTGGGTAGATTTGGCTCCACCAGAATCCTTTATTTCTTATGCATACTGTCTTTTCCTGCATTAAAGGGGCAGGCAGTTTGATTAAATTGCAGCATTGTTTTCTGTACCATTCCGTGGTTTTTAAGTCTTCCTTTGAAAACAAAAGGAGAAGAAGAGGTACACCTGTGAGAGGATTGAGTTTCAGAGGTTTCTGTGTTTAGGTTAGCATTTCGAGAGCTATCCATGTGTGTGTCGCTTGTTGCCATCTGTTGCTGCATGCATGGGTAATTCTTTGGAGAGTATGATTTTTAGCATGCTTCCTGACCAATGATGTGCATGGAGCAGTTGGATCACCTCTACTCAGATTTTATAGAACAATGAAGTGGCTGGATGATGGAGATGCAGCAGCTTCTGGATTAGGTTTGTAGCACGCTGGCTGAACTCAATTCAAGAAGAGCTGATTTCTTTTACACATTTTCCAGACTTCTTTTGTCAGATAAGCTTGTTTTTTGAGGCTTATTGATGGGTATTACGTAGCCTAACCAAGTGCATTTGGTTAAGTGTATGTGATAAACAATTTTTAGTACAGTTATTTGAGTTTTAATTTTGGCTGAAATGTTTCTGGTTGGGTTGTTTCTTTCTTTCTTTCTTTCTTTGTTTCTTTTGCTTTAAATCTATATCTCTTAATAGGGTTCCATGTTATTTCACTTTGAGTTGTTTGAAGCTGTATTATTTAATCTTAATATTAGGTTCCACTGGCATTTAAAAAGGCAGCTGCATTAGTATACTGCAGAGAGAATTACTGTTAAAAAAAGGAAAAAGATTTATTTGCTCAGTCATCTGTCTCCTAAACTTTGTTAATGCTACAAGGAGAGGAGGATAGCCATTCTTCATTTCTGTAAATTGCTGGTACATGAAATGCATATTGTGTGTTCTGGTTAAGTTAACAAGCAAGCTACTATGCTATTTGAGTGAAAGTATGACAACACTTTTTATACGAAAAATACTACTTTCCTATTGTACTCTTTTAAATCTTGTAGTTTTGGGATAGCTTTTGGGCTTTGTGTCATTAGGTTTAAATGTCTAGGGGGAAGTTCCTGGACTTTTTTGCTGGTTTGCTATTCTTCAGACTACTTAGTTTTATGTCTGTTAGCATCCTTTCCAGTAGAATTGTCTGTGTTTTGACACAATTTGGGTTTTAACCTTTAAATCAGTTCTCAGAGATTTTGGGTTTGGTGAAACATGGGTTTTTGCTGAAACATGTACTTTCCTATACCTTTGCAGCCTGGGGCAGGTTAAGCAGGGTTCCCTGTATGGAAGCTGTGGGAGCAGCTTCATCATTTGTGACTTTGATAGGAGATCAGGAATTTTGGTTTTGTTGTCGTTTCTTTTCTTTGTTACTAATGCTACGTAAAAATAACCTGAAGTGAACTTTTATTAAAGGAGTAAATCTGTTTCTATAATGCATAAATAAGAAGTGAAGGTTATTTAAATGAAGGAGAACTTATTTGTGTATTAGTTGTAAAGGAGACCTCTTTTTATTGCCAGAAGCTTCCTTAATCTTCAGCTGAAGAAATAGGCTGTTACTAACCTGTTTGCTACATTTTAAAGGGGACTCAGAGTGTAAGTAAAAACATTTTTATTGGTTCTGTGATTGATACATGTATAAAGTTTGTAGGACCGAGAGTGAAATGTGTAGGATTTTGAGGTTTTTTTTTCCCTCTCCCGCTTCCTGTTGTGGAGATGTGTGCAAAGACAACCTTTTTGGGCTCTTAGGACACTGTTAAAAAGAAAATAATTGCACACCCCGTTTCTCCCTGTTTAGGTGACGTTTGACTAACCCAGCCACTGGGCACAGCAGAACGGCAATGATGCTGCTCTTGGAAGGGTCCCTGCGTAAGAGCTGCAGTGCACGTGTCCTGTTGCTATTCGACAGCTTGGCATGCTGCTCTCTGGAGTGAGGGCATAATATGCAATAAACTTGAATAATTTCATGCTGCTTCCTTGGCTTCTCTATAATTTGAGATAAGGATGTTTAAGAGTTTATAGCTGGCTTATGCATATCCTGCCTTTTGACACAGGGCATGCCAGATCTCCATTTGGGTGGGATAGCTTTTTAATTAAAGCACGTGTTTATTTTTTCATACCTTGTTCAGTTACGTTTTATACTTATGAAAAGTTTTACACTTATGTTTTGGGAACCCGAGTTCTTATAAGTTGCAAAGACTTAGTAATGCTTTTGGCAGTGCTAGCTTCTCAGACTTCAGAGTGTGCCTTTACTGGCTGTGTCAGAATTGGTGTTACTTCATCCCGTGGTAGGCCTCTGAAATAGGAAAGATTGTGGGTGGCCGTTTCTGAAGAGCCAACTTAACTGATTTGTTGGTGGAGACTGGACTGAGACCAACCAACTCTTCCCATTCAAGAAATTAAAACTGCAATTTGGTAGCAAAAGATGTTTTTATTTACTGCTTTTGGTGAAATCTCTTTCAAAATAACATTTTAATTTCTGGTTTAGCTTTTGGACTTCTAAAATCAAAAATAAGGGCAGTCTTAAGTGTTTAAACCCACTTCTCATAGTGTTGATATGCTATGTATAATTTTCCTTGTTGTAGAAAAGCATTTAGTGTTACTGGTAGGGAACACAAACATAGCGTAAGCAGAGGTGTATACTTCTCTAAAATCATACAGGAGAGGCAGTTCCTGTAGTGGGATTCTGATGTTCAATTCTGTTCCTATCAAACTGTTCTTACTTATAAAAAGGGAAAAAAAACAGGTGGTTCAGTTATTCTTATTGCCCAGGTCCCACTCCTGATGGTTCTTGACTAGACTTCAGTCTTGACTGAACTAGGAAAGTTGAAGATGTCTTCAGCCGTGTACAGCACTGCTGGTGCATCTGTATCACACTGGTGTCTGGCTGCACCACTCCTCGATTGCTGCAGCTGAGCCTTTCCACTGGTGCTCACCACTAAGATAAATATTGATTTGTTTGGGGTCACTTGGCAAAGCATGTGGCGTTCTACACTATAGATGTACATGGGTTTCCTTTCATTTTAAGAAGAGGAAAGGACAAAAATAAAAAGCAAGATCCAAAGACTCAAAAATCAAGACTGATATGTAGTCAACAGTGGATTCTGTTTGGTCCTGTTGGAGGATAAGATCTGCTATGGGTGCTGTAGATTCTGTGCTTTGCTGCCTGTTTGCCTTTGAAGACAAAAAAAATATAGAATTGCATTTTACCAGCTCTTGAACTTCTTGCTGCCTTCATGAACAACAGCACAAGCAGTCAAACTTCCAGTGTTGGTTACAACAGAGCAGTGATCTTTCAGTAAGACTCCTGTTTCTTCTTGCCTCTTACCATTGATTCCTCAAGAATGGAGCTAAGCAGTGGTAGCCAAAAGTGCAAGCATCCTCTTGTCAGCTCAGCCTGGTGACAGTGAATATGCCTGTGTTTTTTTCCAGTGCTTTTTGTATTTCTCTTTTCAGTCTTTGTAACCTGTGATGATATTGGAAGAGAGGAAAAAGAGTTACCAGGTTCTTTGTCAGGGAGTACTGGCTTGAATCCCTTGAGATTTGACCTGTTCTCCCTTTGAGAAGATCGTTGTTTCTTGCCTGAACTGTGATGCAACAACTAGAAAAAAGCTATGAAAATTATTTTCTTTCCCCCTACCTCTTCATTACAAGCACACAGCATGCCTGCGTTCATACCAATATCTGTGTATGGAATTCATTGTCTGTTCTGTGCTGGAATATGATGACTTATTTTGTAGTATTTTACTAGTATAAACTCAGTCATCTAATTGCTAGTAAATTGCAAATCCTAAACAGAACCCTCTGATGAGCTCTGCTAAGAACTCCCTACTTAGCTAGAAATTGTATAGGGAGCTGCTATGCTGGAAGCTTTAGTACAGTTTATTGGAAGTATTGTTCATATCACTTTCCTTGTAAATTAGATGCTGCAAAGTGTCTTTTTAATAGCTTTTAACTGATCTAAAGAGTTGGTATTATAAAAGCTAACTGAATGGCTTGTGTCCATGTACAGCATCACTAATGACTGGGAAAAACATACCTAAAACTTATTAGCTGAAAGAAAAATATGTGCTGTCATACTTGCCAGAAAAGGCATAAACCTTCATACACCATAATGACATGTTGTTAATCAACCTTCAGTTTGATATCTACAATTTGCTGTTATCTTTGTTCATATGCCTGGATACTCTTGAATTTCACTGGGATTTGATTTGTTTAACAGTGTTTTCTATGAGTAGATGTTCTGGAATAGTGGAAATGCTATATGTGATTTTTAAAAGCTTAACATAAATGGGAATGCTGTGTGATTAGCATTATGTTTTCTGCTGGAAATACAAAACATCAGGGCAGAAACAGTGTGTGAGGTTCCTGGAGTGTGTGTCCCCTGACACAAATGATGAGGTGTCAAACTAGGGAAGGCACCTGCTGGTCCTGTGGTTTGTGAACAGAGAAGGACTGTTGGATGATGTGATGGCCAGAGAACATCCTGGGCAGAGTGATCATGCAAGGATAGTTTTCAGTTCTTGGGGAAGTAAGGAGGGGAGTCAGCAGAACTTCCGTGTCAGACTTCCAGAGAGCAGGGAGTCTGGCCTGTTCAGGAGCCCAGTTGACAGAGCCCCTTGGAAGGCATTCCTGAAGGGCAGAGGAA